AGAACGATAATACGCCATTAGTCTCACAGATTGTATATGTTGATCACAATTTTCCTGTCCCAAAATTGGAACTAATTTCCTTAACTGTTTATCGGCTTCGCTTGGATCACAATGGCATTGAATCAAACATTAATTTTATTCCATGGTTTTATGATGGATTATCATAATCCGAAGATTAGTGGAGTTATGGACCACAATTAGTATTGATCCCACGGAAAACAGTCGCTGGATTGTAAATCAATAAAATGCTATCCATCACTCAAGATCAATAGAAGAAAAAAATAAATTCAAATGAATTTAGAAAACAATTAACGGGTTTCTTTCACCGTTGATATAGGTGTATCCTTTGCGTTTTGTAAGAGTTTTATTATAGCGTAGTTTAGATTGAATAAATACAATATTGGTTAAAATTTATTGAGAAAAAGCATCTAAAATAAAGTACTTTTCATTATTATATATATATTTTTTTTTAAAAAAACGTTGCCCCACTTTAGGATTTTCTCCTGTGTCGTGGGTGCGTTTACAGACATACAAGTTCACATACACAATGACACCCATACCCGAAACAACAATTTGTGGATCACACAAAGTGTTGTTCCGTGCGGGAATCGAACAAGCGACACATTGACACACGGCAGCCGGTTGCCCAGCCACCGCACCAACCGTGCAGTCTAATATTGAAACATATTTGTGCTAATGATATTATATAGATTCCACACCAACTTTTCGACAAACTTCCAAAATATTATTTTATTCAAATTTTCTTCAAAAATCTTTAGTTACATCTGCATAGACGGTTTGGCAACCAACCCTAAATTTAACTGTACAACAATAAACGTGCTAGCTAGACTTCAAAGCGATTCATTTGTTTTACATTTAGTACTCAAACTATTACATATGATAGAACGTTCGTGTGTAAAAACAGTTAACATTAACGAACGTCGGCTCCGCTCGTAACAACTTAAATTTTAATTAAAAATGGAAGCTCAGCGAGCCGGTAAAACTATAGAAATATGCTTCTGTAGTGATCAGCAATTAAGTTAGAAAAAGCGTATCGTAATTTTATAATAGCTGCACGGTTTAATCGACCATTTATCCCGAGTTTTTCGCTATTCGTAAGTGAAGTAATAACGGTAAATATTTGTTGGAAAAAAATATCGATAAACGATAGCGTGGTTTCCCACACTAGTGATTTGAATTGGTCAAATTATTTAAATTTGTACGACTGTACGTATGTATGTATGTATGTATGTATGTATGTATGTATGTATGTATGTACAATTTTTATGTGTTTCACGTTTCTTTTGTCGCGTTACGATTTTAGAAATTTGTTATGTTGTTTTGGTATTTAGATAGGGTTTTTTGGTAATATGAAGCGTTAAAGGTTTTTGTTGTTTCCGATTTCGGTAGTAAGATGCAGAAAGTGTACTGTACCGAATTTTGAGGAACTAAATTACAATTTTAAAGTATATACTAGTCCTTATAAGGTGCATTTTATTTTGCAGGAGAACTAAAACGTGGTCTTCCTGTTCTAAATCGTATCAAAGGACCAAAAGAAGACCAAGGTTTCTACCATGTACCTGGTTGAATACAACCAAGTTTAAACAAGACTGAATGCGGATCCTCTGTAAGAAAGAAGTTGTAGGATATTAAGTTTAGCGACGAAATTTAATTTAATTTTTCACAAAATTCATGGTAATTCAACAAAAACAATTTACATTTAAAACAATTAATATTAATCCATAACAAGCTAGGTAAAGTCGTAATACTCCAAGGTGCCTCAAACGATATTGTTTTAACCTTTTAAAACCCAAGGCTGGTCAAATTGTCCAATCAAACGATTTTTCACAGAGAAATCTTTACTGTTCATTTATATACCTCTGATTTTGATAGTGTTTAATTGGCTGAGGTTATCGCACTGTTTTAATGGCGCCTCTGTGATTTTTGACGTTTGATGATTTGAAAAAAGAATTTGTTTTTGTTTTTTTTTATCGTTTGTGGAAGTGAAAAGGAGGTTGGTTATTGTCTTTTTATTTATTAAAGTTCAGAAAATGTGAAGAAATGAAATCGTGCCGTCTCTCGAGTCTTCTATCCGATTGATAAAAGATGTGATGCGCACTCTATTACAAATTTACAAATCACAGAATCGTAAATTAAATTAATCTTATATAAAATCAAATTAGTTTCGAAGTTTTGCATTTCGTAATTGATTTTGATTTGAGAAAGATAAAGCTTTGGTATGTATCGTCCCACGCAAATTTTGTGCGGTGGCGACATCAGACCGCAATCCATTACCCGCTTATTTATTAAAACGCATCTAAGTTGCCACCATTAAAAATCAGATCGTACCGTAGAAAAAACCTACCTATTAGTGAACAATATCAATGTTTTCGGTAATAAACGTTCATAATTACCAACAACTTTTTCTCACGTAACTTAAACTTTAAAAAGAGAGAAAGTATATTGCTTTTACAAAATCCAATTAACTTAAGCCAGGACAATCAATTTCATTCAAATATGATGAGAATTTATAACTCTAGATCTTTGTATCGCATTTAGAAAGTAACAAATATTGCCAATTTACAATACCATTAGTAATAATATTGATGTAAGTCGCCATTATTTATTCAATCAGCATAGAGAACGGCAATATATAACCATAAAGTAATTTAAAAAGAAACGCAAAATAATTATCAGAAAAAAATTAAAAACGTTTTACATAATTCACAATTGGTTCCGATTTTAGAGATGAGATCACTGTCATATCGATGTATCGATATACCGATTATAATCGGTATAAGTACGTAGGTCCGAAGAATCGAGTGATACGTGACGTTTGATCACCTTGATTAGTAGTCAATTAAGTGTTCCCATAACCCGTCAATAAAAGTATTCGGTGATTTCGAAGTATTTTGTTGTAATCAATTTTTTGATGTCGGCGTCCGTTTGTGGAAGAACAAATGGTTGTTTTATTGGCGTACCGAATTTAGTGAGGTCGGTCTTGAATACGCTTACCGGACTTCAGTGTGGGGTTACATTCGGATGATAGTAAAACCTTTTATATTTTCCAACTGTACTTTGGTCTAGGAATTAAGTTTTGGTGTTGACTATAATATTAAATGCACATTTTTCTTAATTATTTTTAGTTTTTATTATGCTGCTCTTTTTATGTCAATGAGGATAATTAAATTTAGTAGTTACTAGTAATTTTTGTTGGTTGAAAAGAATTATCTGTGTTGTTATATTGGTACAATGTAAATGTGTCTTTAAGTTGGCTTCACCATTGTCTTTGACCTTGTCTCGGGCATCGAGCATCCCTACTATCTCTATGGTTTTCTCTTACTTCTCATCTAAGCATTGTTAGTACAAGTTATTAAAATAAAATACAGTATCTAAATAATTCGTAAGTTTTATTTACAACAATCTGTTGGTTGATTGTCGTCTGTTTTGCTATAATTATAACTTGCATTGTTGTCTTTGTTCATCAATTATGACACTTCTTATCACAGTACTCGCTTTTAATACATTTCTAATAAATAGTTCCATTCCACATAAACCAAGTGAATCAAAGTCACTGCAATCACCATAAAATACAAATTCCAAAATCAATTTCAACCATTTAAAATTGGATACAGAACCCCGCTTAACCCTACCGATCGCGCGCCGTACGGGCGTGTCGAAAGGCCATCTCAAGAAGCCGAAAGTCGGTGCCGGTTAAAAATTTTATAGTTTATAATTACTGGTGATTGGCGGCGTGACCCGCTCGATTCGCCGGCGATCGACAGATGAACGGACCGACAACACTGTTGACTTACATTTTTTCTCTTTTATTTCGACATTTGCTAAGAGGTTAGAGCCCTAGGACTGATTTCGGGGGGACTAATTTTAATTGACATAACATAACATCACGCCTTTTATCTCAGAAGGGGTAGGCAGAGATGCACATCACGGCAATAAATGCCAGTGTATAATGTAACACCCGCTTTTCACTATTTATGAGTCCCACGTGATAGGGGGTGAGCTGATTGCCATTAACCAGGCACAATTCCAGACTCGCGTTCGGGAATCGAATGCGAGAGCCCTTGCCCGGCAATCGCACTTGCGACCACTCGGCCAATAGAACAGAAAAAAGTTAATCATCACGGTTGCTCAATGCGTTGGCGATTTTAAACTTATATTTAGAAATTATAAGCTCAGGTCTTCTCACGATGTTTTCCTTCATCGTTTGTCAGTGGTGTCTAAATAATCTTAGAAATCTGTTGGTAGGTTTTGAACCTGCGCCCTCATGCATGAGAAGCAAGCGTCTTAGACCTCCAAGCCACCACGACGTAGTGAAAATACAATATTGTTTTATTAACTTGCGAGCACTTATTTTCAAGCTCAATTAAATTTGATACTATATTACAAGTCAAACAATTCTAGAATACAATAAACGATAATTACGAACAAAAACCTTACAAATATGACTAAAAAAGTCTAAGTATTGAAACCAACTAAAATTCAAAATTTATTCTCAATCTAATTTATTCGTTCGTGAAGTTTTATTATATTATTTGTGATTAGATGCACGGCGCCAAATCACAAATAAATAAATATGAAAACAACATTATAATTGCAGTAAGGAGGAAAAGGACCAAAATAAGTTTATATTGGTAATAATTGGTCTTTTACGATGTTCCGTGATTAAAGTCACCCTGGCATTAGAAGTTGTAAATATTACATTTGTAGTTTGTATAACGTTTGTCAGCTACCTGTAAGTAAATTGCAAGTTGTCGACAGTTTAGGTTTAAAAGTGTCCATACTGGAAAGGCTTGAATGAAATAAATGGTCACACCAAGTCGAATAGAATGCATCGTAACCTCTTTGAGGAATTAAAGTGCATTCTCCGACTTTACTTTTTCTAAGCCATTATGGACCATAACAATGATTTGACTACATACATTCATTTAATTCTAAATCATGACATCTTCCAATAAGCTCCAATTTCAAGTAACACTCACCTTAGTCTTACTGCCACCAATAGAACCTGGTCTAATAGATCCTGTCTCGTAGAACCTGGTCAGGATCTTCGAAACGCATCCATGTGAGACCAACAACTGTCTGCTAATATCACAGGGTCGCACTCCCATGATGGCCAGCTCCACGATTCTCTTCCGAACGACGTCTGGTAGTGGACGGCCATTTACGAAGACGCCTCCCAATTGGTTGACCCCCGCTTGACCTGTGGAGATAATCTTTTGTTATTATGCTTTCCTGGTACTTTGGATTGTGATAAGGCTAGGAGCTGGGAGAATTAGAATTTTTACTCTGCAATGTTTATGGAAAATAAATACGTAAGTTGTAGGAAAATTTTATTTGGACCTTACAATTAAATTATGCATGTATGTAATTTTAAGCACATATGATCTCTAAAAAGTATCTTATTACAGAGGATTTGTCTAAAAGAGAATTTTGCTTAGGCCTGACCAAAGTTTATTTTGACTTTTTTTTAGGATTCGTCATAACTGTTGACAGTTACTTAGAGAATTGTTGACAATTCTCTCAGTACCAAAGGACCAAACCTATTGACCTTGAATGACAAATATTTAAACTTGTTAATCAATACATAATAATGGTGTGGCTATCTATACATTTTACAACGTCACATCGGACAGTTACCGAACTATCCAACACCAATGACTCATACTTTACCGTGTAACTTTTTTGGACGTCAAGACATCAAAGGAAGCGCTTAATAGTGATTATTGGGCACAACATTTCAGTAGTTGTTCGGATCTAAACGGTTGTAATAAGTCGTGAAGCGAGACTAATTGTCCATCGACTGCCACGGTAATGTTACACGCACGATAACTTGGTAATATTGCACGCAACTGATTAGGTATTTGTGCTTGGAGACATAGGTAGGTAATGGGGAATTTCGTGTGAACTAACATTATTATTTTATTTCGTCTGTTCATTTTTCTTTCCCAGGACCACCGACCACAGGGCCCTAAACCTTTGGAAGGCGTACGACTAGCCGGAGCCAAGTTGTAGAGGTCTGTTGAACCATTTTAATCTAATTGCGCGCTATGCGCTATGGAAGTGCACCCAAAAGGACAATCCCCCATTGATGCAGGACTATTGGAATGGAAAAAAATGATAGGGTTATTAGTGTTATTTTATTATTACTTCTCCCCAATATATAATAGATATTAAGCATGGTTTTTTTGAAATAGAGGGGAAACAAGAAGAAAGTTAAGTGGGTGTCTACGTTACAAATGCGATACGGCCTTTAAAAATAAACTAACTCTGAACAATAAGTTTTGTAACCGAACAACAAAATCGTTCGTTTAGAACCTTTCCAAATAATGACCAAGAATTTAAACAGTATCTATATTCTAACAAAAAAATAATATGTAATTCTAATAAAAAACAAAAAAAATATTCCAGAACAGAAGCGTAACGAACTGCATATTATTATTTTTTATTAAAGGACCAGTCCTTTTATCCACAATCATTTTGTAGGTATAATACTAACATCAGTAGCTTAGTACTTTTCCAAACATTTGCGATTTTTCCAAACATTTCTGGAACAGTATAAAAATATCTATTGTAATAAGGAAACAAGTGGGACTATATTCATTCTGGTCCTTACATCCGCAAACATTTTTTTAATGCAAAGCTTTATTAATATTACTAAATATCTATTTCTTAAGTACTGTTACATTATAACTAACTACTCATCAACTCGTTCAAATCCTATAATCAGCTTTAGAATAAATCGAGTAAGTATTCAGGCTATATAATTACTTAATCTTTCAAAACAGAACCGGTTTTCGCACATAAATTCATACCAAAACGAACTCAAGCCATCAAGCCAACCCCTCGCAGTTAATCAAAAAACGAAATTCACATCTCAATTACAATGGGCACTACCCTAATTTCGGCACTCCACCTGTCCCAATTCCGGCCTAATATTTATTTGATTGCCAAATTCATATCATCCGGCGCCCAATTACGGTATAGACATCTTTAAAAAGTTAGATCTAAAGATATGTCAACGAAATTTATTATATGTCGTTAATTTAGTAGAAATGAGGTTCTTGTCTATTTTATTATTAATTAAAACTCGTATAAAATGGATTAATATTCGTTTAGTAATACGATATTGTTTGTTTTATTACTTTTTATACTGTTTTTATTCTAATCGCTGTACTGTTGTTCCATATGAAAAGGACCGAATGATATTTCTGTTTTTATTTGGTTCGAAATAAGTAAAAACGCGGGTTACTCACGTGAATATACTGAGCAAAGCTCTACTAGTTTCGAACCACAGAGGGGTTCTTCCTCATGAGCAGCGTGCGCGGTCGCGGCGACGTCGCGCAGCTCACTGGCTGGCGTTGGCGCTCGCCTCGGTGTTGCCACCTGCGCTGCGAGCCCAACGCGCCCTCTGTCGGACACTACGAGCGTTTGCTTCCAACTCCGGCAGCGCGTTGGACGAAGCTAAAGCGCACGGTACGTTCACCAGCGGCGCGGGTCGTGGGTTCGATTCCGGGTTCGGCACAAAGTCAGTGTTGCATATAACGCTTACTGTGTCACACTCCAGACTGGAGACGCTGTGGATCGACGAAGACTCCAAGCTCGGCTTCCACGCGGGTGGCAGTGCCCAGCCACCATCCCTGTTGAAGCACGGTC